GCAGAGAACTATGTTCAGGTTCTAGAACAACATATGCTCCCATCTAGGCGTCATCTCTTTCAGGAAAGACCCTGCATTTTTCAACACGATAATGCCAGACCACATTCTACAGCAATCACAACATCATGGCTACGTAGGAGAAGGATCCGGGTACTGAAATGGCCAGTCTGCAGTCCAGATCTTTCACCTATAGAGAACATTTGGTGCATCATAAAGAGGAAGGTGCGACAAAGAAGGCCCAAGACGATTGAACAGTTAGAGGTCTGTATTAGACATGAATGGGAGAGCATTCCTATTTCTAAACTTGAGAAACTGGTCTCCTCTGTCCCCAGACGTCTGTTGAGTGTTGTAAGAAGAAGGGGGGATGCCACACAGTGGTAAAAATGGACTTGTCCCAACATTTTTGGGATTTGTTGACGCCATGAAATTGGGAAACTACAGATTTTCCCCTTAAAATGATAAATTCTCTCAGTTTAAACGTTTGATCTGTGATTTGTGTTCTATTCTGAATAAAATATTAGATGTTGGCACCTCCACATCATTGCTTTCAAATTTTATTCACAATTTGTTTAGTGTCCCAACTTTTTTGGAATCCGGTTTGTAGGAACGCTACCTGTCAGAGCTCAAACAGGACAATATAATCATACTGTTGCCTGCTGAGTGTGCACGAGGGATGAGAAGACACGGATTACGTATACTAGCATATTTCGCTACTTCATTGACTCGGTTGCTTCCAACAGTGAAGTGATGAACAACTGAAAAGCTCTGAGGCATATTAATATTTACACAGTAATAAGGTCAGACGCATTTTGTTAAAAGAGGTGGGACAATCTTATTTATCTTAAAGCAGACATCAGCCCAGCTAAAGCCTTAGAGTCCTCCATCACTGAGCTTGGGTTAATTGCAGAGGAAATTGTAATACTAAAGGCGAACAAATACTATAATGCTGTGTCCTTCATACACTTGAAATCATACCTGATATTCTCGTCACGCTGTTTTCAGTCCTTCTGAGGATCCGGCGTCTCATCTCCAGTGGTTTATTGTAGTCCAGCCACAAAGTAGGATACAGGTTTTTCTCCGTCGGCCGTTTGTCAACAGAGTGAAATGAGCTCGCATACAGCATTTTGGGTGGTCTCTTCTAGTTCAGATTTTTCAGCCACATTCAATTCCTCATTTAGGTAGGAGATGGAAACTATACCGCTTTTCACTGGAACACTTTTTTTGTTTTGGGTCCGTGTTCAAAACTTGTTGTAGCCACTGATTTAGTTTGGTCTGGGTGTTCGTGCAGCTGCAAACAACACAAGTAGCCTACCTGAACTCAACAAGGCTATTAAACTCTATGGTTGTTAAATAAATGTGAACAAAACAAAAACTGTGTTTTATCTACTAAACTGAATGTAAATTACTTTCAAATAAACCGTGGTCCTTGCTTCACTACCATGGTTAACCAATGCTTACTGCTACTTCCAGTGTCTGACAGGAAGTTGTACCATAATCATTTATACAATAGAGCCCTCAGGAATAAGGTGGATAGAAGTAACTGATCTCAGGCTGTTGATCACTTAAGTGTGGTCTTGTAGTGAACATCTAACTTTAGTTGGTGAAGAAACACACAAACCTCAGTGTGTGTATCTCTGATTGGACCCTTTAAGATGTCATCACAAAACTTAAGCCCAAGCTAAATCTGTTAGGTTCAGAAGCAGAACACATTGCACGCTGCATCCTACATAAAACCTTCAAAACACCCCATTTTTCTCACTTTTGTTTGTCTGATTTTTGCATTTACACTATGCTCTTATACAAACAAGTCAAACTGGTGTGTAAAGGTTAACAATCATGTTGACGGCTCTTCCCCTTCTCCCCTGTGTTTTCCTGCTTTCGTTCTTTCCCACAGCTCTGTGTGCAGAAACTGCGAATCCTGATAGAAGACTCGGACCAGAACTGTGAGCCCTCTGTCAATGCCTGCAGTGTGTCATTTTCTCATTGTCTGTGTGTTTCTGACTGTGGAACGGTCCATCCTTGTAGACGACAACAATGTAGACCCCCGATTCTGGATAACTCGGAACAGTGTTGCTATTTTCTTCTTAATTAAGAAGGCCTGCTTGGAATTATGTTGTTCTTAAGTAACATTCACCTCTTTCCTCCCAGAAAGCCTGCTGAATATGACAGTGAAGGTGGACAACTTTCAGAGATTCTCCCAGATTGAGGCTTCAATCTGATGGCATTACAGACCAACCAGTATTCGAGTTATCTGGACCTCCATTTTGTAGTTAGCTGTGTGTGTGTGTGACGTAGACAGTAGACATCTGGTTTCAGTGAACTCTGTAGCTTTAAGGGTTTATTATTTTACTACACCTCCTGTTGGTCTTTATTCATTGTTAACTATGAGAGGGAACATTTTCAAGTTTGAGACATTTGTGGAGATAAATAACTAGTATTTGGAGTACAGAAGTGGGGCTGCAATAGATATTAGTTCTCTTCAGGCAAAGTGTTTATTGTATTTGCAGTTTCTGAGAAGGTTTATTTCTATTTTCAGGAGCAGAGCTACACAGTTACTGTACCGGATCAAGCCAGCTGTGTCCTGTGTTTGGTTACTCACTTCTTTCATACAGCTGTGGCCCAAAGTTTTCAGCTCAGTTTTTTTAGAACCTTTTGTCAGATGTTTATATGGTATAGTACAGTTATAAGCATTCCAGACATTTTACACTTTTTATAGACAAATACATCCAGTTTAAGGAAATACTTAATATTTACAGTGTTGACCCTTCTTTTTTAATACTTCTGCTATTCACCTTGACAAAATCTTGAGTGATGGCAACCCATTCTTCCCTAATCAGTGCTTGAAGTTGATCAGAGCTTCTGGGTTTTAATTTGTCTGCCCGGTTTTTGCGGCTTGACCACAGGTTCTCAACAAGATTGAGATCTGGGGAGTTCCTGGCTGTGGACCTAAACTTTCAAAGTTTTGTTCACCAAGTCACTTGGTTATCACTTTTGCCTTGTGCCATGGTGCTCCATCATGCTGGAAAATATATTTTTCATCTCCAATTTGCTCCTGTGTTGTTGGGAGAAGTTGCTCTTGGAAGTTGTTTTGATAACATTCCTTGTTCATGGTGGTGTTCTTAAAACTTTGAGCGAACCCACTCCCCTGGATGAGAAGCAACCCCACACATGAATGGTCTCAAGATGCTTCACTGTTGGCATGTCACAGGCCTCATGGTAATACTCGCCTTTTCTTATCTGGACAATAATTTTTCCAGATGCCCCAAACATTCTGAAGGGGGCTTCATCAGATAAAATAACTTCACCCCTGTCCTCTGCAGTCTAAGTCTCTATACTTTCTGTAGAATGCCAGACTGTCCTTGATGTTTTTCTTGGAAAGAAGCGGCTTCTTTGCTGCCCTTCTTGACACCAAGCCTTCCTTCAAAAGTCTTTGTCTCACTGTGCGTTCAGATGCCCTTTGCCATTCCTGAGCAAGTTGTGCACCAGTGCACTGCTGGTGACTTGATCTTGTAACTGCATCCTTTTTAGGAGATGGTCCTGATGCTTGCTTGACTTTATTGGATGCCTGAAGCCTTCTTCACTGCAACTGAACCACTCATTGAAGTTCTTGATGATTTGATAAATGGTTCATTGGGGCGTTGTCTTTCAAGCATCAGTGTCCTGCAATTCATTTCATCACTCTTCACAATCTACAGTTAATACAAATTGCTGCCATAAAAACTGAGGCAGCAAACTTTGTGAGAACCAAAATTTTGTCCCATTCTCAAAACTTTTGGCCACGACTGCAGTAGGGCCTGCCTGCGACAACTCATCAAAACTAACGACCAAACAAGAATGAAACCAGATTTGTATTTGCCAAAAAGCAGCATAAATCACAGCATAAGCCACACATAAGCTACAACACTTCTCTGAAATGTGAATATAATTATCTGGTTCAGTCAGGGCTGCTCAAGTGTTTCATTTAAACACGAATAGCAACATGCTATATAAACTTTATTGTTCTGTTTTGTCTTTTTGTGCCTTTATTGTGCATCTGTATCGAAAATACACAAATTTTAAACGAGCCGCAGTCCAGAACAAAAAAATTGAGGTAATCTCTGTCATCGTCATTCGCTTTGGCAGTAATTCCACATCTGTGGTTATATTTATAAGGTGTTCTCTCCAGTCTCACAAAGGTCAAAACTGCACACGTTTATTGATTCAGGAACCTGAGAGGCATTGGTCTCTGCCACATTAGACAATGACAGACTCCCATACTATTTATAAAAAACATATAAGAACATTTTGGTGAGCGATTATGATCTGCCAAGGACACGTCAAAAGGACAAAACGAAACAAAAATCCACTGTCTCGTGTGTGTTTGTGTCCTTTTCATCATTCTGTGTTTTTGTTTTTATTGTCTTCATAGCTTATTTTAGTTTGTAGCTGAATTAATGTTATCCTATATAGGGATAGTTATGTTTGTTGCTATTACTACTCATTTACAGTTCTCTTAACTGTATTGATTCTAAAATATCGGAGGACAGACTGTTGCAAGCTGTGGTATTTTTTGTGTTTTGGGTTTTTAGTAAAGGTTTTATTTCACTACAGCCAGTTTAGTAACTTGAAATTTTAATGAAGCAAAAATGGTGAATTTTATAAATGTTACAGAAAAATGGTCAGATTTGTTCATCTAGTTTATAAAATGAGTTAGAGTTTTGTATATTTAAGCAGATAGGGTCAACTAAGAGTTGCAATAAATATTCCTTATTCGGTTCACTGAGGCTTTGTATTTTGTCTTCACACAGTGAAATACTTGGGTCTGCTCGCCATGTCAAAGATTTTGAAGACCCATCCCAAATCAGTGCAGTCTCATAAAGACCTCATCCTTCAGTGTCTGGATGACAAAGATGAATCCATTCGTCTCAGAGCCTTGGACCTCCTCTATGGCATGGTATGGAGCCAAAACATCTAGCTTTGCTATTATTACAAGAGGTTATATTCATCTTAACTCAGCTTTCGCACATCAACTGATTACTCTAAACAAGGATGAGAGAGCGAGAGAGAGAGATCCATATATAGATATGCATGCAGCAAACTAAAATACTATTTATTTTTTATTTTTCCCCCTAACTGAATGAATTAAAAACTATCCGGTAACCTTTTAATGCTTTAAATTTATTTTTCTTCCAGGTATCTAAGAAGAATTTGATGGAGATTGTAAAGAAGCTGATGCTACATGTTGACAAAGCTGAAGGAACCACCTACAGAGATGAACTGCTCACCAAGATCATTGACATTTGCAGCCAAAGCAACTATCAGTACATCACAAACTTTGAGTGGTCAGTGCTCTTCCCTGGCAGCATCTTCTGTTTCACTTGGAGCTTTGTTATTTTTGCTATTTTCCAATTTGGTGATTTTTTTTTAAAACCTCCTCTTCATATCTACCTGACAGGTACATCAGTATTCTGGTGGAGCTGACTCGATTGGAGGGCACACGGCACGGCCACCTCATTGCCTCTCAAATGCTGGATGTTGCCATTCGGGTCAAAGCCATCCGAGTATTTGCTGTTGCCCAAATGGCAACTCTGCTGGATAACGCCCACCTGTTGACTGGCAATACGCAGCGAAATGGCATCTGTGAAGTGTTGTACGCTGCAGCCTGGATCTGCGGCGAGTTCTCAGAGTGAGTTGATACTTCAAAATGGAGCACGATAAGTAGTGAAGAGTTCTGGTTCTGATTGCCAGGACAGTTTTTGTTTTAATAATAAATAAAAAAAAGTTTTGGCAAACCCATAGTAAATTCAATCTTTTATTTCATCAATGTTTTATATTCATTTTATTGTTTTTGACTCTTCCATGTAGTGAAGGACAGTTTGCTATTTTTACCTTGCTTTGGGAGAAAATGTGATCTACAATTTTCTCTTATTTTCTTTAGACACCTGGAGAACCCAATGCAGACATTAGAGGCCATGCTGCGCCCAAAGGTGGCTACCCTCCCAGGCCACATCCAGGCTGTGTATGTTCAAAACTCAGCCAAGCTGTTTGCCACTGTGCTGAAGAGTCAGGAAGGGGACACGGACAGCACAGCAGCACAGGAAGCCAGTCAGCTGATGATAGACCGGCTACCACTGTTTGTCCAGAGTGCCAACCTCGAAGTGCAGGAGAGGGTAAGAACAAAAAGCAAATGAGTTGCATCTGAGCCAAGTTCATGTTATTGGTCTTTAACATTATCAAGATCCCAATGCTACTCTACATAAAAAAATAACAAAGAAGCAGTAATCTAGAATGACTCGTGTTGTTTCTCAGGCATCCTGCATCCTGCAACTGGTCAAGTACATCCAGAAGCTTCAGCAGAAGGATGTAGAAGTGGCAGAAGAAGTTTGTGCGTTGTTTGCTGGAGAACTCAACCCCGTGGCCCCTAAAGCACAGAAGAAAGTTCCTGTTCCTGAAGGGTGAGTTTACTCTGTGGAAGATTCAAAACAAAATTTATTTTGGGCTGTGTTATTTATTTATTTATTTATTTATTTAAATACAAGGCATCTGGTTTTTTTTTTTTTGTTGTTTTTTTTATTACACACATTACATTGGCTAATTGGTTGCAAACCTTTGTGTTTGTGAAGCCTGGATCTGGATGCTTGGATCAATGAGCCTCCATCTGAAAGTGAGTCAGAGGATGAGCAACCAAAGGCAATTTTTTCCAAGGAGGAGCCGAAACACTCGCGTCCCCGTCACACAGAGGTGGATGAGAAAGAGCTGGCCAGGGTACGTACTGATGAACTGAACCATGGACCTAAACAACCATATAAATTAAAGACAAAAAAAAGCAAACATCAGTTTTGTTTAAAATACTTATTTATGTAAGCAGCATTCAGTAATTATATTTTTGCTTAATTACACAAGGAATTACCCTTTTTCACCTAAATGTTAGCATGTTATTTTGTTAAAACTAGTTAATTTAGCATGCCACAGAATGATTGAATATGAATTTGTTTGATAATGTTGCTGTAAACAAATATTATTTCTTTTCTTCTAGTTTGTAATTATTTGTCATGTGGATCCCTGCTTGCATTTAAACTGACCTTTTCTGAAATTAATTGAATCATTGCTGCCATTTTGATTTCCTCACTTGCAGAGGAGAGAAGCCAGAAAGCAGGAGCAAGCTAACAATCCATTTTACATCAAGGCATCCCCATCCTCTCAAAAGGTAAGTTGACCACCTATTAACTTGTCATTTATAAACATAGTATTAGTATTTTATTTGGCCATGCCTAGTATTCACTAAATGTACAAACTACACATATAATAAGACTGTTTATGTGTTAAATCCACCACTTCTTCTGTGTAGGTGTATCAAGAAGCTCCTGGAGTGGAGCACATTCCAGTAGTGCAAATTGACCTCAGCGTGCCTCTCAAAGTCCCAGGTGGGTAATAGTTTTCTTACACTAACAGATAAAAAACACTTATTTCACTTTCATTACGTTTAAGAACTTCTACAAGTATCTAAATTTAACTGCAATATACAAAAATCATTACGTTCACCATGAACATTCCCCCTCTATTCATCCCCCTAATGGTTTCAAACACCTGTATCAGGTTTTAATGGTGTCTTGTTGCTCAGGTCTGCCCATGTCTGACCAGTATGTGAAGCTGGAGGAGGAGCGCCGCCAGAAAGCGAGAGCGGAGAAGAAGAAGAAGGAGAAAAAGAAGAAGAAAGAAAAGCGCAGTGGACGAGGGAAGAAACACGATTCCGGTCCTGAGAGCGAAGAGGACATTGCACCTGCACACATGGTCGACATTGTAACGGAGGAGATGCCAGAGGTAGGGTTGCTTTGACGTTAAACTGATGATGTAAGACAAGTGCCTATTAAAGAGAAATGCATTAATCTACTGTAAAAGTTTTAGTTGATTTTTAGTATCATTTGTGTTGTATCTACAATTGTAGTTGAGAATTTTATGAATGAATACAGTTTCATATGCAGGTTTGTGCAGGTGGAGCAGAACAAAATAGAGCAAAAATATGTATAAGAAGCTTTTTCCCTCATTATTTTAGTAAGTTTGTACGATGCTATAGTTTATTAAATTAATATTTACTCTTAACTAGTTTTTCATAACAAATAATTACAATTGTAAAACTATTTTTTTCCTCATTTAAACTCGTAGTTATTACTCCTTTTTTTGGTTCCTGGTGTGTTAGACAACAGAGGCTGGAACTTGGAATGCAGGATCTTAGTGAATTTCCTGCTGCTGAAATAAATATGATGGCAAGTTAAAACTCACTTTTATTGATTGTGATCTCTCCTTGTAACAGAATGCCTTACCCAGTGATGATGATGAAAGAGACCCCAGTGACCCGCACAAAGCTCTGGACATTGACCTGGACAAGTGAGTCAATGCTATACTGATCCCAGTCCTGCATACGATCAGCTCTTTATCAGTTTTTATTAAGATTTTTTTCAGAGAGCTAAAAAAAACAACCTTTCGTTGTTTATGTAGTTGGTGATATTTTAAACTAAAGGTTGTAGCTGAGTGTTTTTTTTTATTTTTAGTGCTCATTTGTTCAACAAATTTCAGTACACGTACAAAGTCAATGTAAAGTTTTCAGATTGTTTAGGCTTTCCTTATTTTTTGTTTTTAACGTTTTAAGATTTCTTTTAAAGTTGATTCCATTTTTTTAATTAACACAGCAAGAGTTTGTTTAAAATATTTTTCCTTTGACATACATTTTAGTTGCTTTCTCAGCTGTGGCTGACTGGTTAGGGCAGTCGTCTTCCAATGGGAGAGTTGGGGGTTCTATTCCACCAGCAGTCACGTGCTGAGTGTCCTTGGGCAAGACACTGAACCCCTCATTACCTCTGGTGTGTGTCCCATCGGTGTATGAATGTGATCTAAAGCACTGATTGGTCTATAGAAGGATTTGTTTGATTATCTTTGTAGAGATGTAGTAGAGTGCTGCATGAATGTGTGTGGAAGTAAACGAGTGAACACAAAGCTGACAAGGTGAGGTCTTTATCCAAACCTCAGCAAGAATATATTGCATAAAAACTTTAATCTGGGAAAGACTGAAGACAGATGGTTTCTGCAGCACCATGAATGCCCAAAAGCACAGTAAAACTTTTTATATAAAGGAAGTTTTGAACCATCAGCAGACTTGAATATGGCTGTCCAACCAAAATATGTAATTTGTGAGGACGTTGGCATTCTTGTCCTGCAGCAAGAGTGTCCTGGGTTTGAGCCCCAGCGGGGGTTTTCTGCATGGAGTTTGCATGTTTTCCTTGTCCCTCAGTTCAAAACCATGCATGTTAGGTTAAGTGACAACTTTAAATTAACCCAAGGTGTAAGTGTGAATGTCTGTCTTTGTGGTCCTGTGATGGACTGGATCTGTTCCCACATCTCACCCACTGCCAGTGTATGTGGGTGAGAGGCACTGCTCCTAGCCAAAAAGTTCAAGATGTCTACGAAGGAAAGGTGTGTTAAATCTGCAGGAGCGTTCATTAAAAAAATAAGCTGTAGGTTGCAGTTTTTTTTGAGGTTGTCACATGCTTTAAAACATGTTATGACATACTGTTGTCAGTAATTGTCTAAAATGACTTTTAAATCAAAGGAATATTAAACGCATCAAAAGTGAAGGGACTGAAGTTGTCTGAAAACATTGTTTATTCTATACATGTTTCTGGACACAGCACTGAAGTCCGTATGACCTGACCCCTTTCTCACACCCCTCATGGCTTTCTGCTTCTTCTTTTCTATGCATACACACAAACATCACTGCCTCTTTGTGAGAGCAGTTTGGTGGAATCGGCTGGGCGCAGGTGAGTAGTATCCCAGCCACAGGACCTGGGCTCCCACTGCCTACGACTGCTTTACTGTCTTTTTTTTCCTTCCTCACACTTATACATTCATCTACATACACTCATACACTTATACATACATGCATACATTCACACACTCATTCATGCATACATACATTTGGAGCTTGCAGTTTGCTTCCCTTCTGCTCTTCTTTCCTTGTGTTTTTTATATTTAGGCTTTGCTTGTAGTTTTGGACATGTTATGTGTTAACATCCCTTTTCTCCTGTTCGGATGCCTTTTCTCTGTTAGTTTGTTTTTTCACTCAGCCTGACAATATCGGCATCTGTGACTCTTAACAAACTACTCTTTGACTAATTTGAAATAGTACTATTTTCATGACAACATAAAATAAAACAGATTGATGCTGATGTTCTCAGGATTTAAAATTTTGCCACTTGTCCTGAAATGGGCTCCTAAAGGCATTTTGTCTTTAGTTTATTTTTAGGTAAATTGGTTCAAGAGTCACCACACCTGTTGCACACTTCAGTCCATTTGCCTACAGTTCATATGTCTACCTCAGCAGACATTCCTGTTAACTGGCCCTCCAATATGCCCTTAAATAAATATTAGAGTTTAATATTTTAATTGTAAAATGAGATGGTACAGGACTTGTTTGAAAAGGACAAAAATGGTCGCATTGGATTTACGCTAAATTAATTTACAAAAATGCATGAACTCGCACACAACTTCTGTTCTTAATTGTTCATAAGATAAACAGTATCTGAAATCAGGTTGTTGTTGTTGTTTTTTGTTTTTTTTTAATAATGAGAGGGGAAAACAAGACCTGACTCGAGCCATGAGGGCTGCATCACCTTCAGTTGACAAAATATTAATTAAAGATAGACTGTTCAGCCAATGGATTTTAATTTGACAATATTTGCCATCTTTAAAACACACATATCTGATCAAGATGCTGTATATTAGCCAAGTAGGAAAACAAAGATGTAGCGGCGGCTGCCATCTCACCAAATTCAAGTATTTTTTTTATCCCCGAGGGGCAATTAGTTTCAGTCAGTAGAGATATAAAACATCCATACTACACACAAGATTAAGACATTAAAATAACAATAACAAAATAACAATGTTCACTGAGAAGCTTGATCACTACAGGGATGAATGCATTTTTCAGTCCGTTGAGGGGAACAAACAGTGCCTTTGTGACGCTGTGCATTTCAAATTGGTTATTTGAGTTTGTCTCTTTTGTGACAAGTTTATGAACCTTTTAATGCATGTGCAGTTTAATGCATGTTCAGTTCATAGATCAGAGATAATTAGCTTCAACAATCTTAATTTGTTTGAAAAGGGTCAAGTACTTGACTGAAACTTAGTATAAAAGTAGTCGAAGGAAGTTTAAAGGAAAGAGTCTGACTTCTTGGAAACAAAATGAGCCTCAAGACATTTGCACAGTATGATGCATCTAGAGAACAATGTAATAAATTTAGACTTTACATGCAGTTTTGGCTCAAAGTGCCAAAATGCCTGGAGGTTTGCCAGCAGGGGGACACATTGCACCTTTTTTGTCTTTTAAGAACTCGCTTTGACAGGGAACAACATTGAAAACCCATCAGGTCAAAATGAAGGAATGTTTTCCGTGTAAAGACTGAAGCTATGTGGGATGAATGGCAAAACAATGCTTGGACTAATACCTAACATTTTTAAAGTCAAGAATCTGAGCTTGAGTGTGACGGTCTGCTGTAGATGACCTCTTGTTTTAGCTTTTGCAACACTAACCGTCAAAGAATGCAGGAGGTTTTAAAGGATTTCTAGGATCCTAGTCATAATGCCAATTGCATCAAGAGTCTCATGGTTGCAATGTGCTTGTGTGGATTTTCTCTGGCCAGGCCGCTTGCAGACAACGAGAAGCTGCCGGTCAGGTCCCATCGTGCAGTCGAGATTCAGAAAAGCCCAGTAGAAGATGGAGAGAGAGAAAATGCCACTTCGGAGGAACCCAAGAAGAGCAGCAAAGAAAAGAAGGAGAAGAAGGATAAAGACAGGGATAGAAAGGTGAAGGTTTAGGATTTTCTGTTACGGTTTGTAAAGACCATGAAATTAAATCAGACTTCTGGATTTAACTTTATGGTTTTTGTCTTGGTTTGACTGACACACAGATTTTTTTTTTCTGTTTGTAGAAGAGCAAAGAAGAAAAAAAGAAGAAGAAACACAAAACCGAAGGAAAAAAGGAGGACCTTCTTGGTAGTCAGATGGATGAACCTGTGGTCCAATCAGACGAAACAAATGAAGTGGCAGCACCACCTGCTTCCACCTCTGCAGAGGTATGCTGCTGTAACAGTTCAACATTTGCTTTCACCCATAATTCAGATTACTTGATCTCAAGCTCTTGATTAAAAGTGTCTTGAACATATTCTGTGTATTTTCTTCTAAAAAGATTAATGCAAACATGTTTGATTCTTTTCCTTGACTCAGCACTTTCATTGCTTCTTCAAGCCTCTTTTTCAGGCTGCTCTTGTGTTCAAGTATCAGTTTTCTCGTAGCTGACTGCGCAGTCTTCTGCCATGTTCTTGATTTATTCATGAAATAGTGCAGTGTGATCTCTGTATCCATTGTCATGAATGGTAGTAAGATACAAAGCCCCTCTCACCTCCTGCCACTCCTCTCCCTGCCTTCCTCTTCTAGGTTTCGGATCTGGATTTCTGGCTCTCAAACGCTCCGGTGCCCTCTAATACCCAGGTTGAGTCACTCCCTCCCACCCCTAACTCTCTCCATGTTCTGCCTTCATATGCTCACCTTGCATATTCCTCTTTCGTAGCTTTGTGTCTCATATCCCTTTCGCATTATTTGGATTTATTCTACACTCCCTTGAGTAGCTTTTAGATAAGCACCACAGTTTTGTTTCTTATCCAAGACACTTTTTTCCCAAATTTCTTTTCCTTCACAGGTCACACTATTTTCTCACATTACCACGCCTCAGTCTGTTGTCCAGCATGTGCTTGTGTGCATACACAATGTGTATGTAATTGTCTCAGAGTGTCAGTGGTTCTCCTTGGCTTTTGTTTCACTCCATGGGTCTTGTGGTGGTTTTAAGGTGGTGGCATTTGAGCAAAGGTCTGGCCTCACTTGTGTGTTTAGCGTCCCCACTGCATCAGAATGTGTGTGTCCTGACTGCCTCCTCGGAGCTCATGGTCATCGCCGTCAAAGATGGTGATTTGTGATGGAAGTAATTATTTGTTTGTGTCCACACACACACACATGAACAGAACAAGATCTGAATAAGCATTTATAGTTAATAATAAACCAGGTCTAAGTCTGAAAAACTAAATGTAAATATTAAGTAGAAAATGTAAAAACATTGCCTTATTTAATTGTTTTGTCTGTCAGCAGTAAAAGTAAATGTCACATAATTAATTTAACCACACAAACAGGCTTTTCAATTCAATTCAAAAAATAAAAAATAAAAATTCCTTTTGCCTCACACCACAGACGTTTTCATTTTTATCGACATCTTTTAATAGCTTTGCTTGATGAGATTAGTTTGTTAACACTAAGTTTATAAGACATTTGCGTATTTATCGTTCATCATCATTCGGCCCTGGAGTAAAATCTGACCTAGAAACATGCTTCAACATGTTTGTGTGGAAGAGTTCTTTTTGCATTAGCTGTCACAAAAGCCGAACAAATCTTCGTCAGATCTTTTTAAGCAGTTAGGAGAATCCTGCACCAGGCCCATGACTAGCATCTTGTGTAACTGGTTAATGCAGCATTTCATAGAACACCCAGAACAAAACAAGCTGCTCTTTCCTTACAGATATAATTTTTGGTTTGTCCTGTTTTAGTCTGTTGATTTTTAAAAGTTTTACCTGGGTTAGTGTTGTTGTAGACATTTGTTATGGTGTTTATTGGTGAGCTCAGTTTTTTTTTTTCAACACTAACTTTGCCATCCTCTCTTGACACAGAGGTTACAAACACAACTGCTATTTCACTCTTGCTGATCCGTCTACGTGTTGGTGTTTTTCTTTTGTGTGTGAGCAGGAAGTAGCGACAGTAGCAGCAGCAGCTCCAGCGCCTGGGGCACCCTCTGTCACAGCGCCAGACTCCGAGCCTGATGAACCCAAAGACACAGAAATCGAGGAGCTGGTGAGTTACTGCTGATAGCATGTTGATGGCAAAGTTTGAGATTCCAGTTCACAGTGCCCTGACAAGATACACTGGACCAGCAGCTCTCATTCTCACAAGCTTGTATAAATGAGTTGCCACAGACCTGCCATTTTCTCTGGTCTGTAGAGTAGTTTTCATGCCTCAACCAATTCATTTATTAGATTTTTCCAGAAGTGGCTATTTCAAATAATTATTTGTCTTGTTAACCAGAAGTCCTCCAAACACAAGAAGAAGAAGCAGAAAAAGGAGAAGGAAGACAAGGAGAAGAAAAAGAAGAAGAAGCATCATCACCATCATCACCACAGTGACGGCGGTGGAGAAGAGTCGGTGCAGAATGGGACTATGGAGGAGGAAGAGCCTCTCCCGGTCAGTGTTAAAACGGCTTCACAACAATTAGAAGTGTGAACAAAGAGCCTTTGATCTTTATATGTGGGACTTTATTTATTAATTCTAATTAAACCATAGGCTTCATTGTCTCAGTTAGGTTTCTGACATCTCCGGTTAATCTTGCTGACCAGTATACACATGCACATGCTTGTTATGTATCAGCTACATGGAACAAGCTCCTGTTGCCTGGTTATCACAGAACGCCTGGTCTTACCTGAACTCTTTTTTTCATTTCAGCCCATGTCCAATTACTGCCTGCTGGCTGAGAACAACTACATTAAGATGGTGAGTGATGGTGGGATCATGCTGCAGAACAGCCTTTTAGATATTTTTGTCCTCATTTGGGCTGTTGTACAATTGAATTCCTCTTTTTAGTTTAAAAATGAATTAATCTCTTTTTGCTTCCCCAAAAAGACAACAAAATACACACCAGTAAAACACAGTATGGTTATGTTTGAAATTAAACCTGATTTAATTGTTAAAATTATTTTGTCTTGATGATATGAACATATTCATAAATATCCTGATGCATGCTCAACAATCCAGGGAGATAAATCTAAAAAGGTTAAGTCAGGTCCTCTGGACAGATTCTTCTTTGTTGAAACGTTTTGTCTTTTGTCCAAAAGACTTCTTTAGCCTGAGGAGCTGCAACAAACTTCTCATAGAGGATCAACCAGTCTGCTGGTGACAGCCAAATTTAGTTGTTCACATGCAAAAGGAGGACCATCAGTCTAACAGCAGATCGTTAGTGCCTTGGTGGCCGCTTGCTATTCACAGAGGGCTGAGTGAAACTTGCAATAACAGAATTGTAAGAAGGTGACAGATGAACACAGAGGCCTTCACCCCTGGTTAATGATGAACGAGTTTTCTTCACAAAGCTGCACCCGTCCAGAAGACCTGACTCAGCCTTTTTAAATATTAATGATCAGTTTGCCAAATATGGGCCTACCAAACAGTGTTTCTACTTCACCCCCTGTTTGTTGTTGGGCTGTGTGAATGCAGTTCAGCTGTCTTCTGTGTCCCTGCATCTAAATAAGTTGAATATTGTAACAGATGGAAAATCTTTTTAAATTTTGGACATTGTGAAGTGTTTTTGTTTTTAGGAATAAATAATCTAATAATTTTGACTTGATTGTGAGTGTAAAAAGTTGAAAACTGCCAAGTTTAAGGTCCTTGTATTGAGGAATTTGGTTTTGCACAAATACAAAGATAACTAGTTTAAGTGAAGCAAAAAAAAAAAAAAGTAAATATACTTGATTCTGTTTCAAAGCAAATAAGTGAGCATTTTAGGTTCAGTAGCTAAAGTGTATTCCTGTTACCAGGATGTGGAGATCCTAAAAGAAATGATCAGTCAGACTTCACCTCCATCCAATTATTATTATTATGTTATTTACTGCAGTTGGAAAGAGGGGAAGTTTATAATTTAACAACAGCTCTTTTTAGAAAATATTGATCCTCAAAGTGAGAACGTCACTGGACTGGATGTGCTCTTTTGCTTTATAAAATAAAATGAAGTCTGTTACTAAGTTCAGCTACACAGCTGATCAAAACAAGCGTACCTCTTTAAGCTGAGAGAACAAATATTCCTTTATTTCTGGCACCATCGGGACTCTACAGAAACAAATAAAATGTTTAGAAAACCCCACATTTACCGTCTTTTTTTTTTTCTCGCTCTCTTTAAAGATGATGGAAGATGCTGACGAGGTAATGGTTAAAGTTCTGTCACTGACAGAATATTTTAAAAACTCTTTGATGTGCTTTTCTTTGTCCTCTTTCTCTTTTAGGCTGTTTTCTGAGGCAGATGACGTGCGTGCTTCTGTAGCACAGCCAGTGTTTCTTCTTTTTCTGAGATTGATTCTGTCTGTTTTTTGCCTCTGGGTTCAAAGTGCTTCTAGGAAATCTTGATGTCCTTTAACTTTTGAGTAATCCATCTGTCTTGCTGTTTTTTGTAATGCTTTGACTAAGACGTATTGTTATTTTTAACAATGAAGAAGGGAGAATGGGCACTATGACTTTAAATATTAATACATTTTTTTTTTGTTTTGTTTTTTCCAAGGTGAGTGATATCCAGGGGAACTTACAGGACGGCAGTCAGGTGGTTGTCTCTGTTATATTTGAGAACAAGTGTGACAGCTTCCTAAAATCCATGGAGTTCAACGTAATGGATTCTCTGAACTCCAAGCTGCAGAGGCCAGATGGCTCAAGTCCACATGATGGCCTCGTTGTCCCCTTTCAGCTTCCTCCTGGTCAGTAATAATCTGCAGCATGCTTGTCTTTAATAGTCGATTACCAAAACAATGCATAAACAATATGGCACACTTTAAAAGGAGGAGTAATTTTTAGGTTCTTACAGATTTATGCAACATGAACGTCAATTTCAAGATGAGAAATCAAGTTGAATCTTCTAACATTAGGCTTCTGTTTTGTTTAAAGGAGTTTCCAACGAGGCAAGGTTTGTCTTCACTGTGCAAAGCATCGTGATGCCACAGAAACTGAAGGGAACTCTGACCTTTATTGTCAAGGTTTGTGTTAAAGCGCATCAAGTATACTTGCATTGCATTTTGGTTATTTTGGTCTGTCAGCTGACCATTTGAACAAGACTAGGTTTACAATCTCGAGCAAACTTTCAGAACAAAAATGTCTCGGCAGACTTTGGGGGTGGGGGGTGGTAGTATTTAAAAATCTGTAAATCTTTTATTTTGTAGAATCTAAAACGAAACAACTTGCCCAATTTGGAACATGCTGGTTTTTCAAACTTTTTTTATAAGAACATTTTAACCTTAGAAGAACATGGTTTGTATGTTCTGGCCCTTCAAATCATTTTTACAAACTTCAGATACCGTTTTATTTATGTTTGTTTGTTTTTTCCACCTAAATTTTTTCTGGTGTTATACGTGTTCATATCGTCTGAATCAAGCTCCTCTGAAACAATCCACTTCTCAGATTAAAAAACAATTTTATACACAAACGCAGCGCTGGGCCACAGAGAGACATTCACATTGACGGTCTGTACAGAACGACTTGGAGCAGAGCCCTGAGCACTTTCTTCAGAACTGGCCACGCCTCCAACAAGTGGTTGTCATAGCAACAAACTAAGGAAGAGATCCCTATACTCACCATGTGACGTGCTCTCAGCCAATAAACCCTCATATTCTGACATGTATGATAAAATGGTGTTCTGTCTTTTGTTGAGCTAGGTGTGTAACTAATTAATCCTTCCTACAAGAAACTGGACACTTCCTACCCAGAAGAAACCATTTTATATAACTTCTTCAGAACAGGCACTCTGCTCTGTCTCTCTCTCTAAAGCAACAACTTAATCATAAAGAGAAAATGTATAGACAATAACTACAAATTAACCATAAAAGTATAAAAAATACAAATAAGATACAACCAAGGAAAGATAAAATATATTCCACTGGATTTTTATGAACAGTAATTGAATCATTTTTGTGTTTAATGTTGTGGCGTTCTGCCTTTTCACAGAATGAAGACTCGTCTACTCATGAGAAACTGGACTTTAAACTGCACTTTACCTGCACCTCCTACCTAATCACTACTCCTTGTTACAGGTTGGTGATTTATGCGTCTCTTAAATAATCGTGGACTCATAATTTTTGGAGGAACTTGATTTATTTATTTATTTATTTTATTTTTTTTAGTTGCTCAGATTAAATACACGTATATACAGGGACAGGCATTTTCTAAAATAGTGTTTTTCTTTCTGCATGCTCAGTAATCCAGGTAGATAACTCTAACATTTAAGAGTTCAAGTTAAGTCTGCAGAGCCTTGATATTAGTTTGAATAGTATCTACTAGTAGATATTTTCTCATGGAAACCTGTAGGGTTTTAATAAAGTATTTTCCATGAGAGGTATACTGACTACATTGGTCCCAAGTCAATATACCCAGATGTGGTCATTTTCAGTGTCTCAGAAATAGACGGAAATTGTACCACTTCCTGCTGCCAGCCTAATGGGTCCAGGCTTAGCCAGTCTTTTGGTAGGGTACAGCTTATGTCAGGATGTAGGTTGGAGTCCCGAGTCAGGGATAGTCAGATCCTACTGTCACAGAGAGTGATGAGTTGTTATTCAAGGACCCCAGTGCAGAATGTTGGAGGCAGTTTTTGGAACAAGGCAACATACTTTAACTAAACCAATGCAACGTTGGGGAAAAGGCAGCATGGCAGGATCCACAGGATAGACAAGAGGATCTGATGCTGCTGAAAACGAGGAGTAAACAGTTTATACTGTCAGGGGTGATAAGTAAATGTAAACAGGTGTGCTTAATATGACTGGAAGACGGGTGATGTTTTACTACTTTAACTACTTGGTTAGGTTTTGAAGTGATTTTGTCTTGGTGATCTCCCCCATGTTGGTCAAGGTTTAGCATGGAGAACAACAGAGGGCAAGTTTAACTGTCAGGCACCAAAACTGCTGGATCAAGTGATAAAAAAAAAAATAAAAAAAAGCTGTTTAGTTTGAGAAAAGTGCAGCTGTTAAAGTCATCCTAGTCCTTATGGATCACCTAAAGACATGAAAAGTCTTTAATATTTTGGAACATGGGTTGATTTAACTTCTGTGTGTAAACAAATATGTATAAGTACATAAAAAGAATGTCCTGATGCGTGCTCAATAATCCAGGTAGTCTAACTGGTTTGCTGGTGACAACCAAAGCAGCAAATAGGCTGAGAAGGTGTTTCTTATAAGACTTGAGTTTGTTACAGCTCCTCAGACTGAAGAAGACTTTTGGATAAAAGAAAAAATGTTTCAACAAAGAAGAATCCGTCCAGAGGACCTAATTCAACCTTGCTAGATCTATGTAGACCTATTTGCTACAAATAATGGATAATTTGTGGATTTAGTTGCAACCTTTGGGCTGAATAATAATAGACAAGTTTGTTAGAAGTCTTGAATGAAAGCTAGTCTTCCTTTAAACAGCACGATCATTTATTTAAATATGTCTTGGAACTTTGCACGCTTTGTATCTTCAGTGATGCTTTTGCAAAGCTGCTGGAGTCGGGGGACCTGAAGAGCAGCTCCATCAGACTGGAGGGGGTTAACATGCCCTTCCACCATCTACTGGCCAGGATCTGCTTTCACCACCACTTCTCTGGTACAAATCCTCTTTGTCTTTTTGAACTGTTTAAGTTTAAGTAGTCTTAAAATACACGCATAATAAATAAATATATGAGGACATACCGCACGTATATGGTATATCTTTAAGTTTATGATGAAACGTGTTGGTTTTGTGTTGCCTTTGATCAGTTGTGGAGAGGATCGACTCCTGTGCCTCCATGTACAGCAGGTCCATTCAGGGTCACCATGTCTGTTTGCTGGTCAAAACAGTAAGTTAACCAATCAATCAATTGTCTTAATAATCTGATTTCTGGTGTCATTATTTATTTTCTTACAATGTGAACAAGAAAAGGAAACTAAATTAAATAATCTTAACTTTCATTACTGCTCAAAAAAGTTAAAATGTTCACTTGAAACCAGATTCAGTCTTCTTTGGTTTTAATTATAGAAACGCATGTCATCTTATGCCCTGAACGTTAGTCAAATTGAACTGATACTTAAGAAGAATTATAAAACACTAACTTTAACTTTGTGACTTTCTGTTTTCCAGTCTGGTCAAACCGTAACCATTGACGCTAAGTGTGACGAGCCAACACTGCTTGGGAATGTGCTGGATGAGATCAAGCAGACCTTTTCTCAGTGCTGATTGTGTCTGACTGCCCCAGGGTGCCCCTACTCCCACTGACCCTTCCACGCCACCCACTCCGTCACTGAAACACAACATAATCACGTCACAAAACACTGCGGCTAGCACCTCCAGCTTATTTATTAGTCCTCAGATTCACAATATTTCTTTTTCCTTCTTCAGCACCTCATTTTGCTTCTCCTCTGCACTCAGCTCTGCGCTCACTCAGTGTTGTTTTACAAACTTTGTGTCCACACGCTTCATCTTTTCTGCAGCGCACTTTGATTTTTACTTCCTGATTTTCAAGCAGCCTCCTTCTCACACCCTGACTGTACTGAGCCCCTGTTTCTGGATGCCCTCACGTCCTGTGCTCTTTCCAACGTTACCTTTCTGCACTCCACAGATCCTGCTGGCATTTCAGTCTGTGACAGTCCTGCAGTGTAATGTTGACAACTGGTCATTTGCTGTTGATGGGTGAATTGTATTTTTACTGTTTGGGAGTTTTACGTTTTTGTCTGTAGTTTGTTTTTGTTTGATGGTTTGGTTCTCTTTTGTTTTTCTTATTATTATTTGAAGCCTGTCTTTGTCTCGACCCCTTCTTTCTGCTCACTGAACATCACTGCATCTCATTTGTGTAGGCCTGAAAAACACAATATTGGGCAGCTGTATTGATGATAGCATAGAATAGAAAACGATGCTGAATACACTAAAAGGTAGAGAGTTTAACTTGTACAGCATAACTTGTGTCCTACCTGCTTGTTGTTAGGACTAGGAGCATGCTCGCAGGGTCATCAAGAAACTTGGAGCTAAAGATCAGACTGCGAAATTTGATGTCTGCTCTTTAACCCTTTATAAAACTTGTAAAACTCCACATAATTCCTAAAGGATTTAGTTGCTGATTTAAGTGTGCTAATTTCCTCCCAAGACTTTAAACATGTCATTGTTTTCACAGCGATTTGAATCTTTAAGTTGAATAGTGCAAATTATGGAAGAGTGTACAGCGTTAAGATGAAATTACTGTTTCAGCCTAGGTCAGTCGTCTTGAAGTCGCAGACGGTTTGGATGTTATGCAGGATTTCCTGGTTGTGTCAACTGTTGAAGAGATCTCGTGTTGCACATTTTCTATTATGCCCTTCTTGAAAGTCAACATTTAAACAGGGTAGGAACTATACGCAAAATATCCACTGGCAGACAAATCCAGCTTCCTCTGAATCAGTATTGGTCAAACTGGCTTCCACTGAGAGGGGGTATTTACTGTCTTCATGTGTTCTTGTGAAATATTTGCGTCCGTGCCACTTTTTCTTCACGGTAATTCTACCAGTGCTGGCTAACGCCCAGCTGACATGCATCCTTGATGTTTCTTTGCCCTTTAGAAACTGCCTTGCTTGTTTTTGTGCATTAATGTGTCACGAGAAGCATGAACGAAGAACTGGCCCTTCTATTATGAGCCTCTCAGAGGTATTAAGATGTTTCAGTTTGCATCAGTCATGTTTGAGCTCGCTTTCCCTGTCCAGCGTATATTTTCTTAACAAGAAGAAAACTAACTTGGTAGAGTTTGTTCATATTTACTGGTAAGGCCCCGTTCACATTTGTCTGCTATTGTAGGGAACTACAATGTCTGTGACCAGAAGGTCAGGTCAGGCCATGCCACTAGATGTTCATTCTTGTAAACTCAGAGGTTGTTTTTTTTCAGAAAAAGATAATTATGCATTCCTTTTTCTTGGAAGTGACTGATCATCAGCAAATCAAAGAAACTGCGCGTTTCACTATGTTTATTATGATCATTTTGTGCATAATATAAGATAAATTTGTATATTGCATGATTAGGAATGTGCTTTTATTTCTTGGACATGCTTACACAAACTGATCATTCCATACTGTCCTTTTTTTTTTTCCTCCTCGTTTTCTTTTTTTTATATGTTCTTGACCATTGTTTTTGATTGTGTTGTGTTTTTATCTCTTCTAGGTTCAGACATTTAAAAAAGTGATATCATTGAATGTTTTAAATTATTAAACACGGGGGAATGGAAGGGGCTTCTGCTTGGTGTCATAGCGCCAAAGATGTGGGGCTCATTCAAAAAAACAAAAACAGATGGAGCAGAGCAGGTCACATAAAGCAACCCACTGTCTTAATTCTGTTGGTTCAGTTATTGTGAATCAATTTACCAAGTTTGGCTTGTGACATTGAAAATACACTCAACGTGATAGATTTTTATTGGTTACCTTCTTCATATTCATTTCTCAAGCATACAGTGTACATTGTCATGATGTCAAAGGGACAATATCTGATCTACGTTCCCTTTTAAAGGAAGTCAACTCAAAGCAGAAATAAAAGCTGAGAGAAGCCTATGTACCGTAGTTCTTTTTTTGTGTTCCAGAACATAAAAATTCAGCACATACCAAAAAGTTTTTATTTTTATTTTCTTAAGCATTGAAGGTGGTTGGTTAAAATTTTTTTTTTTTTTTTCTGCTGTTCAATTTTTTTTCTTTTTTGTATTGAATGAAAAATACTATTAATACTTTCTTTACTGAACTTCAGTTCCCACAATGCAGGGGTGTCAAACTCACTTACAAAATGGGGCCAAAATTAAATATTTTTTCAAACTAAGGTTCAATTTCAGAAATTACATTAACTCAAACCCAGCATCTTTTCTTGGTCACAGGTTCTTCAACAAGAGTTTGGTTGGTCTCATTTAATGTTCTCTGTTGTGCTTTCGACATCATAATCAAAGATTACTGAACTAAATTAAGAGCTAGAAGTATTTTCCATTTCACATCATCTTGGGGGCCAGATAAGATGTCAGGGAGGGCCACATTTTGCCCCTGGGCCTTGGTTTGCCACATGCCATAATGCCTTGCAAAGGAGCATAATCGAGACAACTGTTTATTGTCGGTGACTAGTTGAAAAAAGGAAATTTCAGATGACGAAACTTAAAAAGTTAAGTTTAATTTGACTGTTTCCTGGATAATGTTCTAATTTGAAGATAAATGCATCCCGAGCCGTCGGTCCAGCAGTTGGTTCCTGTTTAGACTTTCACAGTAAAACGTAACTTCATTAAGCATCTCAAAACTGAGGTGTTATTTTTCCATCGTTTCTCCAGTCATTGCAATGTATCAAAACTTACTTGTGTGTTGTATTTTTTACTGCTTTAGGTAAATGTATCTTCTATGAAGGAGGAAACAAGGGTTCAATTCCACTGGGAACCAAGCAAATAATGGGGGGAGGGATTGGGGTGTGTGTTTGACTGGTGATAGCACATTTCAGAGATTCCCATAATCAAGAGGGCGCAATTCAGTCATTAAACTGTGCACAAATTGCTGTAAATGGACTGTACTTGTATAGCGCCTTTCTATCTTATTTCAAGGTACTCAAAGCGCTTTACACTACAATCTGTGCCTCATTTACCCATTCATACAGCACTCTACTAGATCTCTACAAAGATAATTGAACAAATCATTCTAAAGAGACTAATCAGTGCTTTTTAGATCATTCATTCACTGATGGGACACACATCAGAGGCGATGAGGGGTTCAGTGTCTTGCCCAGGGACACTTTGGCATGTGACTGCTGGTGGATTCGAACCCCCAACTCTTGCATTGGAGGACGACTGCTCTAACCACTCATCCACAGCCGCCCTGTAAAATGGTCATCCTTAAATCTAAAGGAATATGGCTAGAAAAACAAGAAGATAGAAAGTCTCAAAATTACCATCAAAACACCTGTAAATCAAAACAATAAATATAAGAAGAGCAAATCAAAATAAGTTGAACGTGCTACTTTTATTGATATTTAGAAACTGGGAAAAATAATTATGCATTTCATTCCCAACCTGTGTAAATAAAGTGTGTGTGTGTGTGTGTGTGTGGGGGGGGGGGGTCCTTACAGAAAGTTGTCGTTTTATTCTGAAATCTGAAACCGGAAACGGAGTACATAAAACGTCGGACTTGCTTGAATTGTCTCGCACTAACGGAGCTGCTGCTCTGGGAAGCTTCACACGAGAGAAAAGGAACACGAGCTGTGACCAAAGCAGTCTCGATTTTAGATCCTGTTTTGTAGGCTCACCGACGGAAACTCATGCTACCGCCTTCCTGAGCGCGAAGGGCTTCGTTTATTTTTATTTTTTTTGTTTTTATTCTTGATAGTTTTTGCTTTAACCACCCAGCTTTGTCCGTCGCAGTCACGGTTGTGGTGGGGTTGCTGATTTTTTTATTTACTAATCGTTGTGGAATATGGCTCAGCATGGACATCCTTATGTAGCCAGTTCACAAAAAGCACTATTGCTGGAGATGAAAAGTCTCCAAGAGGAGCCAGTCGAAGGATTTAAGATAACTTTGGTGGACGAGTCGGACTTGTACAACTGGGAAGTAGCGATTTTCGGACCCCCCAACACTCACTACGAGGGTGGCTATTTTAAGGTGAGTGGCTAATGTTAGCTAGCAGTACGTCTATTGTTCTTTAGCGGATTTATTTACCCAGTTTAACAAATAAAGCTCAAACTGGAAGTTAACTTCAGCCTTCATGTAACAGCATTTAATAAAAACTGTGTAAAAACCGATTGTGTAACTTAACTGGTGGTAGTTTTTGTTTGACGCTGCTTGGGTAATCACGTCTTTGTTCAACTTTAAATCAAACCTGCTCAGTTGAGATAATTTTATATGGTAAAGGTGTGTTCACATAAGCTTTTATCTACGATCAGATTGTAAAATACAACTTATAGCATGTAGTAGTAATGTATTTTAGTCAGAAACAAAACGCTATTTTGGCATTAACAGAGAGAAGCTCATTAATTCAATCATCTCCTTTGTGCTCATCATTATTCTTTGAATGTAGCTAACTTCATGACATATACCTTAAGTCTTATTCTAAACAAGTTGCATGGCAGTTTTAATTACAAAATGTCTATTGGATTACAAAAAGTGATATTTAATCCCAAAGTCTTTGCTGTGCTTCATATTTGAACATTGAAGACATTGTACTTTTGTCTCAAAATAAATTATTACATCCACAAAATTTATACATGCTTTTATTTTATGTAAAAACAAAAAAAAAAACACTGGTTGTAGGGGTGCATGATACTGGCTTTTTGGCCGATAACTGATACTATTATTGATTTTTCTTTTTATCTAGACCAACTTAAAGAGACTACATAGCTTTCTCTGCTGTGGAATTAAAATACATTACATGGTCTTTGTCAATTTGGCCGGCTGCTACCAAATGCAGATGCCAGAAAGTGGTCTGAATATCAAGTGACACTTCAACTTGGATTATGTTTAATGTCAAATTTATTCATGACATTTACTCTTAACACAATGACAACACTCAGACAGTGCACATTTGTAAATTTTCACAAATCTAAAGTCAACGGTGCGCATTACGTTGTGCTGGTGCTGCAAGTATCCTTGTCACTGGGTTGTCATACAAACACAGTGCCTTTACACACACGCACACAAAACGGCACCTTTTTATATTGGTGAGTTGTTTTGATAGAATGTCCGATATTTAACTTTATCGCTAATATTGGCCGATACCATGCCGATATTGTGCATCTCTTAATTTGTCGTAATATATTTTTCCATTTAGAATGAACATAAACGCCACAAACTAAAAGATAAAAAAAAAAAAATACCATACCATTTTATTTATAGAACACTTAAAACAGCTACAAGGCTAACCAAAGTGCTGTACAGACGGAACAACAGACAACACACAAAGCAATATACAAAATGAAGTACATCAAAAATATAGACATAAAATCGATGCAGATAATAAATGTGACGACAAACAAGTGTGGAGCGTACAGGTTCAAAACACAGATCCTCTGGTGTTGAAAGCTACTGAATAGTGCGTTTTTAAACGGGATTTGAAAACCGAGAGGGAGGGGGCCTGTCTGACAAGCAGAGGTAACTCGTTCCAAAGTCTTGGTCCTGCTGCAGAGAAGGTCCTGTCACCTCTGCGCTTAAGACGAGTTCCTGGGACTGTGAGGAGCAACTGGTCCGCTGGCCTCAGGGAACGTGGTGGGACATGCGGTTGTAGCAGATCAGAGAGATGGGAGGGGGGGCGAAACTGTTCAGCGATTTGTAGACATACAGGAGTATTTTTAACTGGATTCAAAGGTGAACCGGTAGCCAGTGGAGTGATAAAAATAAATATAAGAAAATAAAATTAAGAACCAAACTCACAATGATCATTTAACACAGAATAATGATTTCAGATTTTAGGTTGGACACAAATTGGAAAAACTGAAAATTTAGAAGAGGAAACCTTAATTTATTTGGTCAGCAGCACATCCAGTGGTTACTTAATTGCATTTTACTGTAGTTTATTGTTGTGTACTTTATATTTTGTCTGTCTACAGGTCTCTCTTGTAAATGAGTCCTCGTGACTCAACGAGACTAACCTGTATAAATAAAGGCTGAATGAATACTTCTGGTCAGATCATGTTACCATAACAAGTAAAGGTTTAGCTTGACAAAAGCACCGTGCATGTGTTTTTAACATTTTCACAGTTTTATTTAAAAAGGTCACCTTGGTGTACAATCTAAAAGACAAAGCTAAATGTTTTTGTTCTGGTTCAACCACATTGTCCCCAACATGTGCTACAGTTTTAAACATGTTCGTCTGCATTTAAAATTCTTAAACGCACCTGAATTGCTTCTGTTTTTGTTTGTTTTTTCTTTCTATCAGAACTGATCATAGGACGAGTGATATATTTACCTTCCATTTCTCTTATAAATTGTTTAGATAATCAGAGTTGTTAGCCGTTCATGTACTCCGAAAAGATAAGCTCATCAGCTTGCTAAATAATTCAGTCTTTTTCTTTGTGTTAAATCAACAGCCCTGGGATGAACACACATCTTGTTTGTATATTTTGATTTACTCACCAATCTCTAATGCATGGCAACCTTGCTGCTGAAATACAGATGGCCTTAAACCTAGAACGTCTTGTCCATTTCCTCCTATCGTGAGTTATTCAATTTGTTTTCTGACCTACTTCCTCCCCTGAGAGTAGTGTTTATCTCACATATGTGTTGTACCTCTTTGTGTTTAAATAGTTTAAATTTTTTACGGTCATTCACTGGTTCACAAGAAAAACTCTGGCCTTTTTAACTACAGTCAGTGGAACCCCAAGACTTTCCAGATCTTTTGCCATAAAGATTGATTGCTGACTCACTTTAGATCCAACTAGAAATTACACACCTACATTGTAAACACACAATAACAGTAGCATTTGTTGCCATAGCAGGCAGAACGTTGTTGATTTATCTCTAACCTAAGCAAGAACGTGGATTTTAAACACTTTAGTGCTAGAGTATTGGTTTGAAATGTTGTACTAATGTTGGTATTCATCTTGTAGAGGGCTCAGCTTTTTCTTTTAGACAAACTTTAAACAAAGCGTTGGTAGTTAGGGACTTTGTTGTTTCAAGCACAAATTTGCTGCTATATGTTAATTTTTCACCAAATGAAGGCGAGCATTTATCTTTCTGCAACAAAGTCCATGCTCAATAATCCAGGTATACAATCCAACATTTTTCAGTCAGGTCATCTGGACAGTTTCTTTTCTGCAGAGGGCCGGCAGTGGAGGAGGGGCGTACCAAAGAGACCATCTTATCACAAGCAGAACTGGTTTGTTCCACTTTGGAGTAAGCTGTTGGGGGAAGAATCAGTTTTGTTGTGTGTTTCCTTGACTGATGAAGCCTTCTGGATCGAAGGCGAAACGTTTCAGCACAAAAAAAAAGAAACTGTCCAGATGACCTGACTGAAAAATGTTGGATTTATCTATCTGGTTTTACTGAAATCAATAAAAACGGTCAAGGACATCAATGAAAGATGTAACTTTGTAGCAATAATGCTAAATACTCAAACTGTACATTTTCTAATCAACGTGTTGTCAGATGTGCAGAATGCTTTGTCATCGTTTATCAGAAATGATCACTGTTTTTGGATAATTCCACTTAATATGGGGTCTTATTATAAATTCAAACACACAAATTTAGGTAAGTCATGTTTTTGATGAACATATTCATTTAGTGTCTGTTTTTTTTTTTTTTTTTTTTCTCCAAGCACAGGGCCTCTGTGGATAGTGTTCAACGTGTTGGCAAGGTTTTTTTTTGTTGTTTGTTTTTTTTGGTCAGGTCAGGAATGCACACCCCTGCTGTGAAATCTTCCATGTGATTATGACTCGTTGTTCTTTATTGAGTATCCATCCAACCAGTTTGCTTTAGTGTTTGGAAAAAAAATGCCATTACTGTACCAGTACAATATGTTACAGCTGCCTGCTCACTTGTAACAAAGCAGATACTGGTGTAGCATGAAACCTGGCTGGGTCAGTTTTTTTTTCCCCCACATGGGTGTTGTTTTCCAGAGTTGCACCATGACTGCATGCACTGAGACATACTGAAATGTCATTCAAAGGTGATCAGGTAACTGATCTGGACACGATGACCTCATTACTTAACTGACCTTTGACCTGGAGGTTCCACATGCTGTCCTGGTCCAAGACATTTCCAAGTCTTGTCTTCTCCATCATGTAAAGTGTCTGATTGCTGGCAGAGGATCATTTCAGTTCAAAGCTGGCTATGATCTTGGCACACATTCAGCAGCTGACTTGGCTACATGGATGAGGTAGACATGGTTTGCATATTTGTCTTCAGGACTGATTTACTTTAAAACAGCAAGGACAAAATTAGAAATGGTTAACAAAACATTTTGTTCTGAATCCAGTTTTTATTTTATCTTGACATAATTATATAGTCGCAGCCTGATCTTTGTTTCAGACAAGTGTGACAAACATATATGTTTGATTAATACACATCTCCTGTTAAACTCTTTAGTATTTTGCGGATTTGGTTTGGTCATAATATAAAATCCAAATATCGCAACCCTTTAGTTGCTCGCTACAAGATTATTAAAGTTGTTTTCACAAACCCTGTTTAGATTAAATCAAATTAAGGCAAACTACTTTCTACGGCTCTCCTAGTGTCCCTTCATTTTTCTATCTTAATCTAAAAGACGAGTACTGGTCTTCTGGTTCTTTTTATTGACTTTAACAAACGATTGTTTGACAGTCCTGTTAAGCGGTTGCATTCATACCCACTTGACTTTATTTCTTCTCTGGTCCATACACCCACTATATGTCTTGTAGCAGCTGATGGGAAGAAAGAGGACCCAGTCCAGCCGCATAAGGCTTCACTGGGCTGAGCTGAACTTGCGTCATGTTTAGCCCCTCTAGCTGTGTCACAGAGAAACGAGAACAAGTCCGAGGAAGACTGGGAGTACTGAAACACGCGGCTCAAAGCAGATCCTTCCCTGCTGTTGTCCTTGTTTGAAAGGAGAGCCCAATGTGGCTGTGGGGTCATCCCCTGAAACCATGGCAGTGCTTTCCTTTCCTTCCTATTTGCACTACCAGTGGGGTAAT